ATGGAATAATCACATTCATACGAAAAAACTTACACAACTTTGAAAGGCATGAAAGCCGTTATAACACCCGCTCCACAGGACGACTGAGGGTCGTACCGCGACGGTTAGCACTCACTGAAAAAGATCCGCGCGTAATCGGCCCGGCTTATTATGAGCACCTACCCGTTAACTTAAAAAATGAGCCTAATGATGAAACATTTGATCGTCGACTGAAAGACTTTTTGTTGGATAATGCGTATTATTCCACTGAAGAATATAGGGGCATGGTCTTGTAATATATGTTGTAATTTATAGATTATTAGGTATAGATATTATTTTACCGAAATGAATAAATTACATAAACTTTATGCATACAATCATTATTATATTATATACATACACATTATAGACATAATTATTATTATATTATTTAATATGTTCCTACATTATTTCACATAACTACATTGACTATGTTAAAATTACGTAGTACAAAACTTGTACTAGATATTTGTAATTTTTTGAAATGTAACATTTATTACTATTTGTAACGATTCCCGTAATACAATATATTGTATATAATAATGTAAAGTTTACAAGATAATAAAATAAATCTAAATCTAAAAAATCGATATCTAAATCTTTCACTTCAAATCGACCAGTTAACTTGAGCTTTGCTATTATGGACGAAAATTGCAAAATTACATATTTAATTACCGATGAAATGTGATTCCGTTTGTTTTGTAATTAGATGTTTTGCTGTTTTTCCCACACCACCGAATAGAACAGCACGGCATTGTTAGAGATATTATCTTTATTACAACAAATACAGAATATTTTTTGGAATATACGGAGACGTACACACAGGTAGTAGTTGGCCTGTCTTTATTTCAGTGCAAACGAGAGTTGATATTTATAGCAGCTGTATCGCTAATGTGTTACCAGGAATATATGGCTCTTATTTCGTCTCTATTTCTGGTTATATGCTCGATGACACCGCCTGGCGACTCGCGGCCGCCGCGCGATAAATAATGCTCGAACAAATTAAAAAGACAATGTCAAGTATGAAGCTTCAATCGCTTCACGCGTCATTTAAATCTAATGAAAATCTATTACTCAATTAACAGTTGACCTACACAATTGTTTCGGGCGGATGTTGGACGGAGATATGGAGTAGACCCCCTGACTCCGAGGAGATTGCAACTGGTCTAGGGTGCCTTAGTGCAACTATTATTTACACTAGTGAAACGTAAAATATCCAAAGTAACCTTTTTAAAGAACGACATGAATTTATCGAAGTCTTAGTTTTTCGCTATTGTTACACATGGGAAATTAACTCGTTTATTCGGATTTAAATCGCGTATATTTGTTTTTTCCCGGGTCCGAAAAAACAAATATACGCGTATTAGAGCCGAAAAAAAATCATTTCCGACATGGATTTAATTTATCTTTTATTAGTTTAACATTTGAACATTTAAGTGACCAACGTTAACTACTTATATAATGCATGCGCGCGAACTGCACGTATATAATCTGTTCACGACATACGTGTGCGCGCTGAAGTAGACAAATCCATAGCGTTCGAGACGTGTGGTGGTGAAAATAAAGCTTAGCTGCAGTACTGGTAACAATAAATAATAAATACTTACTCTAACTAGAAAAAAATTTACTTACCATCGTACAAGGCTCAAGTGCTTGCTTCAATACAGCTATGCCCCTCACACTGACAGTCGTATCGTTAAACCAATAACCCTCCACCCCGCCTAGGTCACACCAATCAGAGGACCCGTCGCATGAGTGCGGGTTTCCAGTAATTGTTAGGCCAAATTCCACCTGAGAGGAAATCAACGAAGTTGGCGAAATTATGTTTCAAGTTATAAATACAAATAACATGATTATGAATACAAAGATCGAGCACACAGATTTTTTTTTCCCGTCGACCCGGTGGGTCATGAACTCACGTTCATGCTGCACCGTAGCATTGCTCTAACCATCTAAGCTACGGGTCCAGTTACCGAGTCGGCAAAATTCACCTATGTGTTTTTGTCATAGATCTTTGTACAGACTTTCGGACTAACTGGACCCGTGCCTCACATGGTTAGAGCAAAGCAGCATGAACGTGGAATCAAGTCCCGTGTGCGTTCCTACAGTGGGCGACAGGCGTGCACACATACAACTCACGCTCTAAGTTTGTACGGAGTTACCATAGGTACTTGTCTTAATAAACTATGGTTATAAGCGACAATTATGTAGTCGAGGGTGAAACATGCCTAGAAAATACCTGATATCTGCGTAATCGTTATTGTCCGAAAACAGAACCGCCAGGCTTCCATTCCTTTCCAGGCCACACCGCCAACGAAGCTAGCTAACTTAGCTTAGCTCACGTAGTTGCATGCAACCAACAGGTATACCAGCTAAGCTAACCAGGTGCAAAGCTAAATTAAGAAAATACGTAAGTATCCATAGTCACATACGTGTCGGGATGAAGGGCGACATATTTTACATAGCTAGCGGGAGCGTTGGGTTAGTTTAATTAGCTCGATTAGCTGAGTTCGCGGTGTGAACCGAAGTATGAAAAGATGCCCCGGCTACGTGAGCTAAGTTAGCTTAGCTTCGTTCGCGGTATGGTCTGCGCATTTGACTTCCAAGAAAAATGAATTCTATTTGCGACCGCAAATCACTCGGCGTAAAGTAGGTACATTATAGAACTAAAAAAATACTTAAAATTTAAAATATTAAAAAAATACTTACCCCTTGCGGTCCTCCTTGGCCGTTAACACTTACTAAACAGAGACATAGTACAAGCCATAACATTTTGACATCAAGCCTTTCAGCATAGATAGGTACTAAATGACCTGACAAGATTCTATCGGAAACATTTTATACCAATAGACTATGATAGAAATCAATGTAGCGTATGTAATTATTAAATAGATGTTGCGTGTAAAATCTGATAACATTTTTGCAATTGTTGTTATTGTTCTGTATTTAAATAGAGATGTTACATTGGTATTCAGTAATTGACATGATAGTATACAATTTTGTACTTAGTTTTGTAGAAATTGTGACAAAAGCAAAAAGAATACGTAAATTTTTATTTATATACATTTTTTATATAGGTATAGTACGAGGACAGTAGAATATATATATACCTGCTGTCCTCGGTATAAAGAAAGGCAAAAGCAGCAGATTCAAAATTCCGAAACAAATGAGTTTAAAATTATGTTTAAGCATAAAAAAATATGAAAAATATTAATAACGTCAGCCGCAAGTTAAGCGAGATGTGGGCACAGATCAACACGGAGTGTATTCCAGCCAATACAAGCCAGACATGTGGAAAACCCAGAAGATTGCGTGACGTGTTATAAAACTGACTGTGTAATAAAACTGAAACTAAATAAGATATTTAAAAAATCAATTAGGGGGGTTTGTAGATCTTGTTTCGCTGATCCCAGATAATTATAACTCAATTTTACGTGTCTTATTTCAGAGTGACTATGGTCGAGTTTTTGAAATTCGACTAGCCAGAAAAAGTCGCTATTTAGTCGGTTCTAGCTACAAAAAACTAGATGTAGTCGGTCCGCCGTTCAAAAGTTATAAGGGTGTTTTACTGTCCAAGCTGGAAGAAGCTTATTCCAGCGGCATCATTTCTCAATATCGATAACCACAACACGTAGCTTAGATCTGATTACACTAAAAAAAGTCGCGATTCACTCGGTTCTAATAGTAAATACCCCGGTAGCTACGTTAATGAACACTGAGATAGCGCACAAGTAGTTCGTATTCGCATTGAACAGGCACGAAGTGCCTTCATGAAAATGAAAAAGATTTTGTGTTGTAGAAGGTTCAACCTTAAATAAACTCCGCATGCGTTTGGTCCGCTGTTGTCTTCAGTATCTTGCTGTTTGGTATGGAGTGTTGGACCTTGACTCCAGCATTATGCTCAAAACTGGAGTCCTTGACATTTCGTGGGTACGAAATGTCTTCAATGTTGAGGTTCTTCATCGTATGAGAAAGAAGTTGAAAATACTCAGAATTGTAAAGGAAGCTACAGTATTTTGTCCACGTAGTGAAGGGCAATAGATACCGGATTCTTCAACTAATAATGCAGGGAAAAATACAAGGAAAGCCTATTCGAGGCAGAAGGAAAATCTCGTGGTTGAAGAACCTGAGACTGGTTCCACCTTAGCACACGTTCCTTCTTTCGTGCGGCAACCATGATGGTCGCCAACCTTCGTAGAGAAGCGGCACACTAAGAAGTATGTATGAATTTACAAAGTCGTAAAAAAATAGATTTAGTCGTTACGCCATTTTGAAGTTATTAAGGCGTTTTACTGTCCACGCTAGAATAAGTTTATTCCGGCGGCACCATTTTTGAATCTCGAAAACCGCTGCCCCTAGCTTAAATCTGATTGCACCCGGAACAAGTTGTGAATTAGTCGGTTCTAGTCGCGAAATTTTAAAATTAGTTGCCCCTTTGTTTGGAAGATACAACCGATTTATTATTTGAAAGTTATACCTGTGTTAGCCGGAGCTCATGTACAAATTTTACATTTTTTTTTAAATACACGCTATTTGAAAGTTTCAATAGGTAATGTTTACTTGGAAATTAGCAAAAAAATATAGTTATTTTTCCTTAATGGCATCAGGATTTATTGGGCTCCTAGCTTATACGAGATGAACGAGACGCGTGGATGCAGTCGCGTACGACTATTGACCAGAATAATTAAATAATGAATAAATGACTTGATTGAATAAACGATTACATTATAATTTATACAGTCATTTCCAACTACAATTCGCACCACTCATGGAAGAATGGCATAAGTGAAATTACGTCAAACATGTTTATTGGTCCATTAGGAACACAAAAATATAACCCACATCCTGTACCGAGATTACGAGGATGTGGGTTATATTTTTTGGTGGGTTATATTTATCTAATGAAGCAATGAACATGTTGACGTAATTCCACTTATGCCATTGTTCCTTGAGGGGTGCGAATTTATGTTACGTTTAAATTTGATCTAAAAATTCAGTATTATGTACTATTTTAGTCCCCACGTTGCGACATCTGGTATATGGCAATAGGTACTAAACAACCGACTACGATGTGTTGTATCGCAATTAACAGTCCTCTCGAGTTATTGGTTCATGGTAATACGACTTATTGTACGTGACCGTTGAATAAAGAGAAACAATATTTTCAATGTCTAAAAAAATAGAATTTAATTAGGCGATTCACCTATAAACGACAAAGTTTTAAAGTTCACATCACAACGTTACATTATTCGAAGTATATCCTCTATCACTAGGATTTAAAAATGTTAATGCGCTACGAAATCAAAATAAAAACAAAAAGTGTTTAATAGATTTATTTAAAAAAAAAATACAAAAAAAAACTCTCATCCATGCTTGCTAATTACGTGTATGATTGTAAAATAAACTAGTAAATAGTGCGTTAACAAGTAATATACATAAATATATGGGTTTTTTAGTGCTTGAGACTTGTGTGAGATATAACAATTTATGCGGCAAGAGACCTGTCCTCTATTATCTACGAAATTAGAGTTATAATGCTTATCGTTTAAGCGTTCAGAATTCAGAAGTTATTACTATTATTATTATGCTGCCTGAATAAACTTAAAAATTTCAAAAAATACATCAAAATCCATTCTTCTATATATAAAATACATCTTTTTTTTAACACTAATAAGAGACCAATAACGCGTGAATAGCTTCACACTACTATAATAGATAAATATTTTTAAAATATATCTTATTTATTAAAAATGTCAATTATATATTACTTTTCGAGTCTTAAATTTTATTTTAACCTAATACTGAAAAAGTAACTTTGACAATCTTAAAATGCTCAATATTTATACCAACTCACAATCATCGATATGTTAAAAACCAGCTCTAAATATTATTTAATTAGGACAATAAATTTTTAACACGTAACGTGAAATAACTTAAAATTTTTACGACAAGTTGGCACAAATATGTACAAAAAGATCCAACGGGGGCCCCAAAGGTTAAATTTTAAAAATAAATACGCTTAACACTAATCAAATCCTTTCATACTAGTTTCTAAACGTGTTTCGGGCCCCGTTCAAAAGCACCTTATTATTATTAAAAAATATTTCTTTCCATATATTACGCCGCGTTCTACACTATCTTTCATACTAAAAATATAGCTTCTTTTCCTCATAATAATTATATGGAAGAATGCTTAAAAAGTAAATATATGCATTGAATGAGTAAACAAGTACCAAAGTAAGTAGTAAATAAAGTATTTACTGTTTCAAATTATATGCTAACGTTTAGACTAGAGAACAACTAAACAATGATAAAATATATACTATCGTTAAGTGTTTAAGGCACATTGTCCATTGAAGCGGGAGACAGACGGAGACGTGAGGCGGCAGATACGTGTACTAATAATGACTACAGTTATTTTAAACTAAGAAACTGAAGTTCGGTAAAATTTAATACTCATAACAAAACAATGGCGATAAAACAAGTTACGTATAAATTTGTAGTGATCAATATACTTTAACAGAATTATAATAATAAAAAAAAGCGTAACGAATATATTCGCAATTTAGATTGAATATTACAAATACAAAGTAAGATAACATTAACATTATCCGATAACTTTGTTTCTGATCCCAACTACACTTCAGTGTACAAGATGCCTAATAGCTCACTCTAACCGCGCCGGCCGATTGCAAATAAAACTAAAAACCATCGAGCGAACACACGTCCGAACTATCGACGCACAACTAAAATCTAATCGCTTACACTTCGGTTAAAAAGCCCCTATTGCATATTTTTTAATGTACTACTTCCATCCCTCTCATATAAGCGACTTCTGAGCGTAAGTGAGCGAAACAATGTAGTCACCTTTATAATGTACGTATTACAGTTGTTCCAAGAATGATGGAAGGCATGGCTTATTGTTTGCAAACTGCTGTTAAATCTCACTTAGTAACAAACCTCGCTACCATGAAAGAGTACTACATATGCAATAGAGTGTATTAATTATGCAACTGCTTGGACCGGCGCAAAGAAAAATACCTTAACGCTAAAACAATTAGTATCGGAATGAGTTGGCCCAGTCCGTGTGCAAATAAAGCTATTCGTATGCGTGTTTAGAAATAATAATAGTCGTTATCAAAAATGTCGTAGGGAACGTATCGTTGGGACTCGCTATTCAATGTACCTGTAATAAGAATGTCACTATATAAATATAGCTCAGAAAGTCCACAAAGTCTACTAAATCATCGGTAATGAATGAATGAACGAAATAATGAAATGAATAAATACTATTTATAGCACATTAACCTCCTAAGGCCCAACAAACTAAAATGAAAAAAGCGCCTTTCTTTAGTAATAACGGAATCTCCTCTGAGATATTAGAAAAGTTCAATTCTTGAATTGGTCCTAACATAGGACCTCCCTATTAAATGATCAGAGATCGTCAACTTATTGACTGATTTGGTCTATTAGCACATTTATGCCGGCGCCTATCTACTCTTCTTTTTTGAAGTCTATTTACAATATAAATAATCTATTTAATACTATACACCGCTTTCGACAACTGGGATGATTTTGTAGTTACATCTAAGGAGACTAGACGGCGTTGATTGACTTTTACGTTAAAATCTACATAGAAGTCTTAAGATTTTTCCTGCGAATAATGACTACTCCCGTCACTGGATATTATAAAAAAAATTGTCTACATTTATTTCTCTCGTGAGTTTGGGTGTAATTTATGGTTGTCTATGTTGCGTCCATGGCACCCGCGACACAGGGTGCGTTAGTACTAGTTACCTCCTGCGGCTGCGGCTGCGGCTGCGGCGCAGGCTGGCGCGGCGGCGCGGGCTCGACGCACAGCAGGCGCGGCTTGTCGTCGCGCGCGTCGTCGCGCACGGCGCCCGACCCGCCCAGCGACATCTGCGACAGCGCGCTCAGCACGCTCTCCATGTTCACCATGGGGCTACTGTCGCCCTCGCCCTGCGGAAACAACGCGCTGTACTCTCCTCCTCGTCACACTACACTCGCATATCGTCGGCTACATTTCACTCTTTAAATCCCTTTTTCGCTCTTCAAGCCATCGAATATACAGTGTGTTTACTTGTTTTGCTTTCTCGCCATATTTAAAAAATTAATAATAACAATAATGTATTTAACATTACACCTAAAACATACATCTAAAAATATAATAAAAATATATTCTGTTCAATATTCTTGCTCATTGTATCTAGTAAAGTTTTGTAAAATTGTACCCAAGTGTATTCACCGCGGAGGACAGTGACCCCGCCACTCGCTTCACCGACCGATACGTAATCTTTCTCGATCGCCTATTTACCTATTTTTTAAATTATGTTTATGTACTAGTGTTGTTATAATTTACTAATTAATTACATTAGTTAGAAAAGTTGACTGAAAAAAGATTTTTTGTAACTTAGATTTGGTACATACCAACTTCAGGTTACATGAAAGTATTGCTAGAAGTACCTAGCTCCAGAGCTGGTGGCGCTTCAACTTAGCACATTCTTCACAGCAGAAAAAGCAAAAAAGAAACCAGAGAAGATTTTTGCGCCAAATTCCTCGTCACTCAAACATTTTACATCATGTCATAAGAACGCACTTGATGGTAATGCAGGGTCTGGAGAACCTGATAGCGGTTTTATTCTGCAATAACTCTTGTTGACATACCAAACCACGTGGCATTTCGTGAGAAACTAGAACGTGTGCGCCATGTCAGCGGAACGTAGACCCACCACGCAAGGTCCAACTCAAAAGTTCACTTTAACGATACCGAGCGAAGGGTGCACTGTCCCAGCGGCGTTCACACTATGTAACCATTCGATTTCTACCGCTACCGGAAGCAAGTTAGGGAGTGTAAGTATAGTACAATGGAATTACCTTTTGCGGTCCAGGCTTGAAGAAGTGTAGATAACAGAAACCACGAAAGCCCTGTTAATTGAAAACAAAGTAAATCACAATATTGCTCATATGTAAAAAAAAACTAAATTCAGTTTTTTTATAATACTACGGCTCAACTCACACTGGCGCAGAGTCGAAGCGTCGCGACGCGTCATGTTTGTCGCCTATAGCATATTCATCTCTATTTTCCCATTATTAAGGTACAAATTTGTGTTATGCAAAAATGGAAACACGCACCGACGCGCGAGTCATTCGCGCGTCGAAGCTTGGTTGAAGTCGAGCGGTTTCGCGCGTCGCCGCGCGTTACTTGGGCGCGGTGAGGCGTCAGACGCCGATCACACTGATCCGGGCGCACTAATGCTAGCGTCGTCGCGTGTCGCCAGGCGTTGTAGTTGAAAAACAGGACGCGACGCGACGTTTCGACTCTGCGCCAGTATAAGTTGAGCCTTAGCGTCGGGACAAAAAAGTCGTGCACCTTGTGGTAAGCGACATGCCTGTCCATAACAGTTCAGTGAAATAGAAATAAGCTATTCGATACATTTTCTTTTGGCCAAAGTTTCTAAGGTATTGAGGGGCCTCAATTGTAAAATTCTGATACAAGGCGAAATTAAAATAGATTCAGTACCTTTTGTTAAAACTCAATATGTAAGTACTCAAAGAAAATCATATTTAAATTAAACTCTATATACTTACGACAAGAACGGTTCAAAGTGAACAGCATTATAACGTTTTTTTTTACAAAATTAGCTGTCATAATTTATTTCACGGAAAAGTTTTGCTGCATCATAATATAAAAAATTAAATTCAGAATCGACGTATCTAATTTACTTTTATTGTCAATAATATAAGTTAATTCTATTCACAGCGACAAGGACGATGTTGGACATAGTGTATAGTCTGTTCCAATCCATTTTGAACAAAAAGTAAACAAACCTGTTTGGTTAAAATTCTAAAGCAATCACTCAATAAATCGAATAAGTAACACTTTCACGTATATTTCGAAGATTTCAACTTGATATATTTGATATATCATCACTTTTTCCAACAATATTCATTTGACTAGCATCGTAAAATCGTATTTGAAAAATGGTAGACCAAAAGTGAGGTTATCATTCCTCTATACTTCTATGACTTGCCTATGGTTGCATAGTGCTGTTCAAAAAAAAACATTCTGCTCAATCAATTCAAGTTTAGTAATCGATTATTAAATCGAACATTTCAATCGCCATCGAACGAATATTTAAGTGTAAGGATTTGAAGGAGGATTTAAATTGAAATTTTAAATATGCTTATATAGGTTATACAGGTAACAAATCGATTCATTCAATTAATTAATCGATTTATAGTTGGCGTTATAACTGGCCATCACTAAACCGTCTATGGTCAGGTCAGTGACTTGTTTGTTTACTTTTTGTTCAAAATGGATTGAAACGAGGTAAAGCAAATGTTTTTATGGAAATAATCACATACCTTCCAGACCATGATTTGAGGCTTTACTCCGCGCTCGGATAGGGCTTGTTTCAGGTCACGCACTCGCGTGTTCGGGCTGATATTCGAGATCTGTGAATAATTTAACCAATTTCATTAACTAAAGTAATTCAAATGACAGAAATTCGGGCTGCTGAGCCAGCTAAGTAAGTAAAGTAATTCAAAGTAAAGTTGATTGACCACCTTATAATATGATATGAGTGCTGCATAAACCTGGAGGAAGAAAAATTAAGACAAGCGAAAATGAAGACAATCGAGAGTCGAGAGTTTAATTTATACTATGGATATCAAAAGTAAAGTTGAAAGTCACATTTATACGGCACACGACCTTTAGCCGTTAAGTCTGACACTTTGATTGACTGATAATTTGATTATATTTTCAATATTTGACAGAGGACCCCTTGAATAAATTAGAATAAAATAAAACCTCTATAACAGCAGGTTCTATTACTGTCTACATTATCATTCTTTGTTTATTTCTCTTCTGATAGGTGTCATCAAGTTCTTAGGTTTTCGCGATTGTTACACATAGGAAATGAAACTATTTTTCCGGATTGAAATCGCATATATTTGTTTAAAAAAACAAATATACGCGATTTAAATCCGGAAAAATAGCTTCATTTCCTAGGTGTCATCAATTTTTTTTTTTTTTTTTTTTGAACAGGTGTCCATTGTACAAATTCATATTTTGTAATACGTAACAAACAATCTGGCCTGTTAATAATTTAATGTATTTTTTGTATGACTTGTATAAGACAAATTATTTTCCTAAATAAATAAAAAATATTTTTTGCACTTCTCATTCTCTAAACGTATGTCAATATAGCCTTACGTCATTGACCTACCAACAAATGGACGTCGGGTCTAATACAAAAACCACGAAAAAAAAAAGACCGAAGTTAACCTATACAAACGTAGTGACATGTAACGAAATATAAAAAACTAAAACATTTAATTTAAATTGTAACGTCATTGCAGTACAGTTGCCTTATTTTGCTTGCAACAATTTAAGGGCCCAATAACACCATATGCAGCTTCTACTGGAAACTTAACAAAATATGGTGCATTTTGTTAAATTTAGCTTCGACTGAAAATTACTTGAACACAAGAGTAATGGAGCCTTTATCGTAAATATTAATTAATTTTTATATAATTATTGTCGAATTTTGTGCAAATTCACTTAAAGAAATAATAAAGAGTTGGGCAGATACATACATATTATTTATGATGCCATATTATTTTCCGGCGTTAGTGCGTTTGTGTATGGACCATTCGAAAGACATGCGCCGTGGCGTTGCGCGTGTCGACTTTTACAGTGTAAGTTGCCCCAAAAAAAAGTCAAGGAAGTGGTGCGTACCTTGACAGAAAAGTCGATGACGGGACGCGGACGCTTGGTGCGGCGCGGCTTCTGGTCGGGCTCCTTGCCATCTTTGCCTTCTTTGCCCTCTTTGCCCTCCTTGCTAGCGGACTTGTTGCTGTTGCGGCGTCTCGCCGGCCGGCGGGGCTTGCCCGGTTTGCCCTCCTCGCCCTCTGTAGTGTTACCCTGCGAACATGAGATAAACAACTGTTTGAATTTCGATAATGCCTTCTAATTAACGACAGTCAGCTAAATTTTTTGTATAACGTATAGATGTACACTGTATTGCTCACACACAAGAACAAAAACAGCACACAAACAACTTAAAACTAATGTGCATATGCGGCCTTACCGCTAAAATCGATCTCTCAACTTTCGAGGCAGAGGAAAGCTAAACAGCGGGAGACGTATTGTGCCAAGGGTAAAATTTTATATTATACCAAATACCTACACATATGTACATTTGTATATATAAATATACGTAAATAAACTTATACTTAGTGATATAAATATATATATTGCAGACTAGGACCGTGTCGGAACATATTCACGCAATCCAGTTTTGAATAGTACACAAGTAGAATCAGTCAGTACTAAAAAAAACCGACTTCAAAACTCATTCCCTTAGTTTGCCGCCCTTGGAGGTGGAATATTTTCTTCAAATTGAAATTGGACCACTCCCGAGGTATTTTCTTTCCAAGAAAAAGAAATCATCAAAATCGAAAAAGAAACATAGTCGTAGTAGTGCTACCGCCAAGCAGTAATGGTCATATTACTGTTTCGGTTGTGAAGGGTGCTGGTGAAATTATAGAAACTTTACACATGAGACAAAGTTGACAAGTCAACTTATGTCTTAGGGTGACGGGCGCAGTGGCGGTGCCCCCAGTTCTTTATGATTTAAAGTTCTGAGTAACACTGCAACTGTTAAGGGCAAGCGCATGAGCCCATAACAGCTGCAGTGCATAAATCCATGGCTTACCACCAGGCGCACGCTTTGTTCGTCCCGTCACTTGGTATTATAAAAAGGTGCATGAAGAGCCTCCCCGCACGGCGTACCATTCCTTTTGTGTACATCTGAAGCACCTTGGGCAACAATCGGCAATTACCTTACGCCGATTGGCAAATGCTTTTACCACGATGGCAAGCATTATAACATAATGCCATCGATACAAGAAGAATATAAAATATAAATACCTCGCCCTCGCTGTGGCTCTTGTGGCTGCGCGTGCGGCGACGTGGTCGACGCGGGCGCTGCGCCACACGCTCCTCTACGTCCGTGTCCTCCTCCTTCAGCGCGCAGGCGCGGCCAGCGCTGAGGAACGCCAAATATATACACTACTGTTTCTATTTATCAAAAAACGATATCATGACGGATAATGTGGGAGAAATTTAGAACATAAAAAACTTTGAAAACTATTACGTAAACTCCGTTTATACATTAACATTTTTTTAGTAGTAGTAAAGCTCCTTGTGAGAGTTCGCCCAGGGAAGTACTGTCACCGTATCTATCTCTGCCGCCAAGCTGTAATGTCCGCATTACTGTGTTTCGGTTTTAAAGGGTAAGGGGTCCTGGTGAAATTACAGGCACACGGGGCTTGTCAACTTATGTCGCAGATCTTTGCGATTTAAACCACTGAGTGGCACTACAACTGTTATGGACAGGCGTGCCGCTCACCACCCGGCTCACGACTTGTTCATCCCGTCACTTGATATTATACGAAAAAAACAATGGGCATTGTTCACAATTTTTGACCTCATTTTTTTACACATTAAATTTTTTTTCGAAAATATAGACTATTTTAAGACACTCCTTTGGATATTTTATCATTTCGTAGCTTATTTGCCTTATGATTTTTTGAAAATTTTGCAAGTTATTTATTTGATGACGTCTTCAATGACTCTATAAATGTTAACCTTTGCGGCAGGGAATATTTAAAAAAGTAAATTGACATCTCTCAAAATGTCAAAAACGAAATTCTAGCGTGTAGATGTATTTCGTTACTTTGTGTTCTCTGGTATTTCTTTAAAGTATTGGATTTATCGTTCTACTATTTTCGCACTCGTTTTTGTTTCTTCTTGTTTTATTTAGTGCAGATATATGACTGACGGAATCATGAACTTTATAAAAGCTGAATTACGTAAATTGCCAAAAGTCGAAAATGTAATGATTATGGAATACATTTACTTAAAACAAGCTTAATGTAGCAGAAATAAGAAGAGTAAAAATCGTTCAAATGTTGAAACATCTATATAGATTTAAAACTAAATAGCTGTTACGTGGGCCGGAAAAATGGAGCAAAGTAGTCATCACTTGGTACCCACGTGATGGAAAACGTAATAGAAAGTGTCAACATCAAAGATGGGAGGATAAGCTGAAGCTAACTGTAGGACCATGTTGAAGAAGAGTAGCTCTTGATAGAGCGCACTAGAAAGGTCTGGATGAGGCCTATGCCAAGAGGCACGACGCTGAGTTAAGAGATGCTTATAATGTAAAAATATTTGTAACTCAGCTTAAAAAGGCTATGAAGTCAGATGAAAGTAGTAAGTGACAAAAATATTGTGAAATGAAAACTTTATACAGCTCCTACGTAATTAGATGAGATATATGTGTAGTAGTGGTTTTATATTAAAATTAATATTATAAATGTGACCAAATGTGTTATTGATGTCATAAAATTGATTAAACATTCCCACCATTCGTTATTAAAACAATCCCATTGGCCAGACCAGTCTGATCAACGGGAAACACTGGTTAAATGTATCTCGTGAGTGAGTAGTGATCTTATGTCAATTCTGACAATTTCAAGTGCTATTTGCTAATAACAAAAATAAAAGTATTATTAATTAATAAGTATTTTATTTACTCCATGATCTAAATAACAATTTACTTGAATCACACTTTTTTACCTTTCGACCGTTAACCAATAATACTCTTTAGTGTTGGTACCTTCTTTAAATTTTCGACATTATAAAGCTGTCATTTAATTAAAAAAAACTATCATGTAAGGGGAAAATTGTGTGATATTGATAAATTTCACATACTACTAGAACTTAAATAAGATTTTTGAATTAGGAAACTGACACTGGCGATGATCCCCATATTTTTTTATATACAAATTTGTTGCTGGCAAAACACAGCTGTTAAAAAAATGCCAACCAAGTTCTCTTCGGCAAAAAGGTATGCATTGATTTTAATTTCATAATCATGACATTAATCCACATCAAGAAAATGTGCTGATTTTAGAATTATTATTTTTTAGGAATTCACTCTTTATTAAAGAAAAATCGCATGCAAATATGGCACATATTTGTAGATAAGTGTTGTTTATGCAGTAAAAATTTCAACATCGAAATCATTTCAACATTTGAATAACTGCTTACTTTAAATACAAGTGGCAGGTTTTTTAATTTCTTTTCAATGAGAAGTGCAAATTAGATTTTTTTTTTTAATTACCTAAATTTTCTATACTGATCAAAATCCTTATTGCAAGTTTAGTCCGAAAATTCAAGTTGATCACTTATTCTTTATACTGAATCAATTCGTTTTGTTTTAAACAAAGTTACTATAACAATATGTTTTCTACTTTTTAACACTGTTTTTGCCTTGTCCATAGTAAAGTCCATTCTTCCATTTCGGATGTAGAACCAAACAGAGAAGCTACTTCATTCTTACATTTTGGATGCAGAACCAAATATAGAAGGAGTAGCTGTTGAAGAAACTTCTAGAGAAGAAATTATTTCAGCTGTCGTCCTACCACTTGTTGATTCCTTTATTCTATAATTTGTACTTTTGTCAACCACTTTTACGTCACGCTGTTTTGCAGCGTGTATCTAATAACCTAACCCCCGGTTAAAAGACTGACCTCAAAAGTCATTCATCCCCTAGTTTGCCACCCTTAGAGGTGGAATATTTTCTTGAAATTGAAATGGGACCACATCTGAGGTACCTTCTTTCGAACAAAAAAAGAATCATCAAAATTGTTCATAAATGGCGGAGTTATCGCGTAACACACATACAAAAAAAAACACAGTCGAATTGAAAACCTCCTTTTTTCGAAGTCAGTTAAAAAGTAGATTGGATACTTCTTAATGCAACCAACAACATTTTTGTTATAAGAATGCTTCATAATAGCACAAGACTAATGATATAACTAAATAAACTTTACAAGTAATGTGCAAGTCGGAGACGTATTGGGGATTACACAAACTCTCCATGTTTTCTTTTTTTGCTGTTATGCTGGTACTAGGTTAGAATAGCAGTAGCAGCTGAAAACATATTATTATTGGCTTTATATAGTATACAATAGGTAAATTACAATCATACTAATGAAACTGTTGAATTGATACCTCATTTAATATACTGATATTGCGCAGCTTGACTGTGCATTTGAGTTTTTGCTCATATTTCATAATTTTCACTTTGAAGCAGTTCACCAAATCTCTGGTCGGCTACAAAACTAATAGAATATTTATTACCTTAAATTAATAAATTTCACAGTAGTACTAACAGTGAAAAGGAAGACAGTGTTGTTTTATACAGGTTTATTAACTCACTTCAAAGTGATCTTCACAACAATAAATAGTGTAAACTTGTTATAAAGTATTGCAATTTTCTCTAATATGAACAAACCTCTTGTTTGTGTTATTTATTGAACCATTCTCGCAGGTATGAACAAAACACTTTCTGTATTCCATAGCTGTGTTATATTTGATATTTTGTTGTATTCCATGGCTATGTTATATTTGATATTTTGTCTCCCGGCAGCAAAATTAAAAGTTGCAAAGATAGTAAGGTTATGTTTACAAACGTGAAGTGACATTTAAATTTATTTTTGCGTTTTTGCTTTGCATTATGAACGAACAAAACATTATAGAGCTACTGATGACGTCATTGAATGGCAAATAAAGGTCAATACTATTTTTTGAAAAATGTAAAGAATCTCAACGTAATAATATTGACATACCTACATACAAAATATCAATCAGCAACCTTATTCTTATTTTTAATAATAATTACAAATTTTATTAGTTATTGTATTTTTATTTTTATTTTGTTTTATTTTTGGTTTTACATTGATTTTAATTTTATTACTGATTTTATTATTGTGTTTTTTTGTGTATTATGGGACTACTGTCCTGAAATAAAAATTATTATTATTATTCCTCGAAATGGATTTTGAAATAGAGTTTGAAAAAAATGAACAATGCCCATTGCGATGATGACCGCGAAAATTTTCAATATTATACAAACCAACTATATTAAAAACTAACAAACCTATTTAAATACACCGCTTTCGATAGCTAGGATTTTATAGTTCCTTCTAAGGACACTAGATGGCGTAGATTGGATTTTACGTGAAAACCTACATAGCAATTGCTACACGGAACCATATGATAGCAGGTTTTCTAATGTAGCGTGATTTTATTTAAGGCCGAGAACAAACATCTAACGAGAATGGACACTCTCCGTCCCTCCCTAGCTTTAGATACCGCACCACGCCCCGCACATTGACGGTCACATTGACTGAACGACAACAAGGCTGTCGTCGAGCCGTTTTCGCGCTAAGACGGCTTTGAAACTTGTACATTAATACATAACATCATTGTACGTTATAACGCACACATAATAACGCACACACTCAACATAGCCCCGCACTAGGGAAACACTGTGTCGCGGGTGCCATGGACACACACATAGACAACCACAAATTACACCCAAACTCACGAGAGAAATAAATGTAAGCCATACAAACATTTCTCCCGGCCCGAGAATCGAACCTGGGACCTCTGCGTGGCAGTCCGGCATGGTAACCGTTCGGCCACGGAGGCAGTTACTATTTATAACGGTCGTGAGTTGTGCAGTGTACGGCTGTTTATCATCATCTAAACGGGACAAAGAGAGGAGTTTCTTTCGTTTTCCGTAAGATTAAACGAGGTAAGTAAAAAAACTTATGTTTGAAACTCATTCAGTTATTATTTTCTTCGTTTTTTAGTGCAGAGTAATAAATAATACAGATTTAATATATCAATATAATGTGATAAAATACATTATACAAAGTTTCACGAATTTTCAATTTGTATTGGCGATAAATATGTAGTGAATATAATTATTATATAAGTTGGACACGAAATTTCAAATACCTTGGTTACCTTATTTAAAAGTATCTGTCCAAAATATAACATTTTATTGTTTTTAAATTTATTTTTTTTAAATAAACCTTCACTATTTTTCTAGTTACTGAATTAATGAAAAATATAATGTTATATCGATATAAATACCTAATTAACTTGTGTAATTATAGGATTCTATTAATATAATTATAGAAAACAGATTCGCGTTAAAATTTTCGCTATGTTGCCGCTCTAAACACGTACGAGAAAGTGACAAGTAATCTTGCCACTTCACGCACACATTTGCGCGTGTGCAGGTAGCGCCATGCTGTATGTAGTACTAGTAGGTAAATAACTTTCGCCCGTTGTATGGAGCGTTCGGGGTATGTTTAAGATACTGCGTTAGCGCTCACGACCTATTTAGAACAAGTTTCTCTAAGATTTAGCAAAAAATCAGTGCAATGTACTCACAGCATCTCGATGTCACGCAGTTGGCCGAGGATCGGCATCAGCTGAACGCGACGATTGGAGAGCAGATGCCACAGGATACCCACCGGTCGCTGGCTGAGACGTTGTGTTTCTATCACCTGTTAAAAAATATAATCTTTACTATTGAAATATTCTCATCATCAGCCCATTTCTACAAGCCATTAATACGTTTTATTAAGCGTGAATTATAAAATACTATTGGGTGGTCAAACACAGCTCTTCTCGCGGATCCATATTCATTTTATTTTATTAAAATAATAATAATATTACTTTATAATAAACATATTCGAATCGAGAACCTCCTCCTTTTTTGAAGTCGGTTAAAAATACGTAGTATACTTCTTTCAATCCATTTTCAACAAAATGTAAACAAACAAGTCCCTGATACGACCATAGACAGTTTAGTGATGGCCAATTGTAATGCCAACTACAACCGCTAGTATGACTCAATTGAACAAATCGATTCATTCAATTAATTAATCGATTTGTTCAATTGAGTCATACTAGCGGTTTTCCCTACATAAGCATATTTAAAATTTCCGAAATCTTAATTTTAAGCCCTCCTTCAAATCCTTAAACTAAGATACTCGTTCGACTGCGATTGAAATATTCGATTTACTAATCGATTACAAAAACTTTAATTGAATGAACCGAATGTTTTTTTTTCGTACAGCACTATGCAACCATAGGTGTATAGATGAAAAATAACCTCGCTTTTGGACTACCATTTTTCAAATACAATTTTACGATGCTATTCAAATAATTATTGTTGGAAAAAGCGATGAGATATCAAGTCGAAATCTTCGAAATATACGTTGAAAGTGTTACTTATTCGATTTACTGAGTGATTGCTTTAGTATTTTAACCAGTTTTGTTTAATTAAATTTTTATTGAATTGATATTCAATTATTTTTTGTGAAATTACTCCACTAGTTTGTTATAATTATTAATACAAAGATCGAACACTCAGAAAAAACACTCAGAAAAAATTCTTTCGATCCGGTCGGATTCGAACCGACGTCTTCTTGCATACCGTGCCAGACGCTATACCAACTAAAGTAAACAGTTTTGTTTACTTTTTGTTGAAAATGGATTGGGACAAACTTTAAGTACTGACTATGGATACGTGCGGGATTGAAGAAGGGCGGCAAAAGGGCGACATATTTTACATAGCTAGTGGAATCGTTGGGTTAGTGTAGTTAGCTCGGTTCGCTTAGTTCGCGGTGTGAAGCGAAGTATGAAAAGATGCCCCGGCTAAGTGAGCTAAGTTAGCTTAGCTTCGTTCGCGGTATGGCCTGCGCATTACAATGTGAATGTCCAATTCCATTTGAACAATCACATTTAAAAGCTTACATGAACATTAGAAAATAACACAAAGCAACTTCGTTGCTTTGTTTTTTGTTTGTTGTTGTTTGTTGTGTCTACATTGTCACTTATCATCGGATATTATGGTGTTTAGTTACTTAATTTTAGTAACAAAATTTTAGAAATTTAGAGTTTTATTTGAACAAAGTTTTGTATCTTAGGAATATTTCTAAGGTCTTTTACGAGTGTTCCATAAGTATAAACCATCTATATCTATAGTATTAGGTATGCTGGGACTGCTGCTTGTTAATCATACCTGTGTCGGTGTGACAATGATGTCAATGGGTACATCGTGGGGCCCGAAGAGCTCCGCAGGTAAGGTGTTGAAAACCTAAAACAAAACACGTTTGTTTTTCCATATAAAATTCATTTACAATTTGACCAACATAACGAAAATTATATATATATCTGTGCCTTATCGTGACGCCTATTTCCCAATGGGGTATACAGAGACCATAGTGTCTACAGTGCAAACAGTTGGTCCACCGAGATCGTCAAAGAAAGTTAAAAAAAAAATGGTTACTTATAGTTACAACCGACTAATTTCTCGTTTTTTTTTGACGGGACGAACAAGTGGTGCGCCTGATGATAAGCGACACGCCTGTCCATAACAGTTGCAGTGCCGCTCAGAGCTTTAAATAGCAAATATCTGAGGGGCACCGCATCAGCGCCCGTTACCCTGAGACATAAGTTGACAAGTCCCATGTGCCTGTAATTTCACCAGCAGCAGCACCCTTACAATATGTGCAATATATGCTAGAACTGTTGCAATTGGTACTCTTGGTATAATAAAGCAATATGCGATCATACGTTTTAGCCATATGAACAATCATAAAAATAATACGAACTACATGAAACAAATTATGTATATGTGAATTTTATAACTCCTATAAAAAGTTATCGAGAAATTTCGTTCGCAGAATCATTAAACCTCTCTCCTGAAGTTTTCATTTTGCAGATGTGGCCTTATTTCACCAAGAGCGCGAATTGAAAATACTTATAATGATTTTGTAAGTGTAAATCACCATAATTGGCCTTTTATATATTGCAAATGATTAAGGTGGCGTCAGCTTAGATTACAATAAGAGACAATAACACACTTTCGCTCAAGGTGAAAAAAACCTATACGAGAGTGGCAATCACGATCGCATTTCGATACCTCCAACACACTACGCCAACTTAAGTTTTAGACCTGTTCCTACCTGTTTTTATTTTGTTTCTTGTTTCTTTGTAATTTTTTTCACAAAATTCTTTTTTTTTGGAATTCCGTTTTTGCTTCTTTTTTTTCAAAATTCGGAGAACACAATATTAGTCAATAAATATGGCTGTTTACAAAACATAACAGAAAATGGCGTAATGTTCATTGGAGGAATCGATTTTTGCAAAAATGGGTGTTCAGGGTTGTATAAATAAATTTGTTCTGGATTAATAGTTATGGGATTGCTTATTGAGTGAATAAATAGGTACCTGCCAGTCATGAACGGTAGTGACCACAATTGTGTTGGGCTTGATGGCCTTCATGTGCATCATAAGGCCGAACTCCAGGTCTCCATAGCCTGAAAAGAGCACAAGCGTAGGTAAAACTTTTGAACCTTATTAAAAAATAATTTGTTAATGCTTATGTTTTATTTGTGCTGTGTTGCTATTGTTATTTCGGATTTTTAACATGTATCACATGTTTGTGTATACTGTGACGAATACATCATTTATCTATCTATCTAATCTGGGGCAACAGGATTTGAACTGAAAAAAGAACTCGATAAATTTTCATGTCCTAAAACCATTCAAAATCTCATTTATAAGTATACAGGCTAGAAATTTGTAATGCCAGCTGGAGGGACAGTACTCTAAACACTGGAGATAGAACTTTTTACTTAAAAAGGAAATATTCCTTTATTTTATAAAGAAATAAAACTGCTATCATAGATTTTCGAAAATTTCTAGCAACACGCGGGAATCGAACCCGCATTAACCTGAAAAAAATGCACCTTGAACTTTTATTACATCGATCGATAGGGTTAATTACAAGAATAAAATCTCTCACAAAAATTGGTTAATTAAATGAAAAAAAAAACATGAAATCTTAACGTATTTTAATAAAACGAAAAAAAATGGTAATCTAACTAAATAGTTGCTCGAAATGAGCTCCATTTTCTTGGATACACAAATTTAATCTTTTAACGAATTCATTTTGAGTAACTTTTAATAACGTGTTGTGATGAATTGTATTACAAATCGTATTCTGAACCTCAGCCTTCAACTCGTTTACACTCGCATAGGATTTAAGGTAAATAAATAAAAATAAAAAATAAATAAAAATCAAGTAAGATTCTCTTTCAACTTTTGCTGCGGAGTCATGAGAACTATGGTTGTGTTAGTCCACGTGTACGAAAGTCATTTGAACACTAAAAAACAAATATACGCGACTTAGGTACAAAAAATAGTTTCATTTCCTAAAAATCTTAAGTCGTTCATGTGACGTTAGGTACCATAGCTACCTAGTTGCAACACTGACAATTTTGCACGTAATTTTAATAAAATGCAAAGCTATTTTCTGTTTCTCTCACAATATTCAATATCATCAATCCATTTATACATCCCATTGCTGGGCACGGGTCTCCTCTCAGGCCCAATGTGAAATGTAGCACGTTAGTTCCATATCTTTCTGCATAAATTTTGTTTATAGTGCCCCTCCCTATCAACCTCTTAGTTATGCGAGACTATGACCTGTGCGAGCGAACCCGCACAGGGATCATCTAAGTCAGGTCCTAACATAGATATAGAAAAAAAGGGAAGATATGTAATGACGCTGCGTAAGATCGGGTACCGATGTCGACACTTTTTAGCTTGTGTGCAATTCAAACTTTACGCTCTATTATCTACTACTATAACTTTAAAATTTTGATTGGGTAGGGCTTCAAACGTGAAAACGACGTAACACAATTTTAAAATTTAACAAAATTAAACTTACAGAGAGTAAGAGTAGTATATAATAGCTAACTAATACACGTTAGATGGCGCTGAAACTCATTTTTTGTTACACTAAGAAATCACAGCGGTTTTCACCAATGTAATAGTTAAGTATGTAAAATTAGTAGCACATTTCACGGCGCGTTTTACGCCTGTAGTGGTGACGGTTGCTCGCGGTTGCCGCGGCGGGGTACTAGTAGAACCGCGCAGGGCGCGATCACCTGCGCGCTTGGCGGCCGTCGTCGCCCGCGCACTTTGGCGGTCGGTTCAGGCGCAATGTGGTGCAGGCGCACGCGGGATGAGTTCTCTATTAACCGCGCGAATTGCGATTAACTCCCACTAACTTCGCGGTCCGTTCCGCAATCGCAACGGTTACGTACCCGCAATCGCGGTGGCTACGTGCCCGCACAAATTTGCTGGGTCGTGAGTATTGAAATAAAACCATTGTCTAGCAGCACCGGCGGGCGCGGATGGAGACCGCTCCGTGAATTATTAACCTTATTAACCTTAAACTGACGCTACTCAACGAGGGATGTGGTCCTACCTAATCGACAGTTAGAAACCATGTGGCCGTTTTTAATATTAAAAAATTATTCCATTTTTCATACTATACCTACACTGGTATAGGTGTATTATTAAATTAATATAAATTATTATTATTTTCTTAATGGCGGCCACTAGGCTTGGGCCAGTGTCAGTATTATAAGAATAATATAAAAAATATGGCGATCGTCGCTAGTGTCACTTTTCCATTATACGTTACCACGAGTTGGTGAAGCTGTCACTGTCAAGAGTAAATTCGAACCATCATCGAATTTAATAAATTAAATTATGTTGTTTTTTATGAAGGATTTATGTAATTTTCTACAATTGTTTCTAATTTATTTTGCATACACATGTAAAATAAAGCAGAGTTTATTTTATTTATTTTTTAAATGCATTTGCTATGGAAATTTAAACAAAATAAGAAATAGTAATAAGAAAAGCAATCTTTTGATTTTCCTGCAGCTTCAATCCACCCTTCTTTTATTTTGAAGACATTGGAAAAACTTATAAATTAAAAATACTCTTAAAAAAAATTAAAAATTTATTTATTTCTCAATTTGGTTCAACAATGGTAGATCAGGTCCTCCCTTTAAGCAAATGTATGCTTGTGTTGGGAAGAACTCTACTAACTCTACTTTTAATCTACGAGTATAATGGAATTTAAATATCTAAATTATCTAAAACAATAATACACATACAATTCTCTTCAAGCAACAGCAACATACTCGTACAAAATGACATGAAATTGAAACGGTTGTCCGAAATTTGAGTTGTGTTAAAGTTACTCGAAATAAAAGGTTTAGTAATAATAATAATAAAATAAAAGAAATCAATTTAACGTGAATGCTTTTCGCTTCGATATTTTAGGGACTTTAATTACAAAGATATATTATATATACATACATTACAAAGATAGTAAGAAATTCAAACAAAAAGTCGTTGGAAAACCAAATACAAAAATATACACGACAACAAGCACATAGAAAAATTCGTGAGGTCCACTGATTCGTGCCGTGGCTTACTTGGTATAACGTCTGGCATGGTATGCTAGAAGACATCGGTTCAAATCCGGCCGGATCGAAGGAATTTTTTCTGAGTGTTCGATCTTTGTATTAATAATTATAACAAACTAGTGGAGTATTTCACAAAAAAATTGAATATCAATTCAATAAAAATTTAAAATACAGTGAATAGCGACATCTCTCGCCAGGGCCGGCAGCTATAAGGGTATCTAACTGGGTGATAAAGCTTTCACAGATTTCTCATAGATGGCGCTACGACTAAAAAGTCGTTGAAAAACCAAATACAAAGACACGACAACAAGCAATAGAAAAATTCGTGAGGTCCGCTGGTTCGTGTCGTGGCTTAGTTGGTATAGCGTCTGACACGGTATGCTAAAAGACGTCGGTTCGAATCCGGCCGGATCGAAGGAATTTTTTATAACAAACTAGTGGAGTAATTTCACAAAAAAATAATTGAGTATCAATTCAAAAAAAATTTAAAATTCAAACATTTCAGTAAAAATTTATTGTCGATAAACATCGTTAATCGTAAATGAACATCACTATATTTGAGTCTAGAAATTTCTATCATTGAATAATAATATAAATAGTAACTAAAAATGCAAATAGCCGGTGGAATGTTATCTCACTGGTTTAAAAATTTTTGTTTTCACTCCAATTTTTACAACGTGTATTGCTACAACTTGACATTTTCCCGTTTTACGAGAAATCTTGTATGTACAACGATCGCCATGTCAATGTGTCGATGTTTGTAGGCGTGTCACTTCGACATGATCATTTTGATCAAATCGAGGCGACACGAACCACGCCCCCATACCAAATCTGCCCTTTTTTTCTATATCTACGGGTCCTAACCCCAGATCAGCCCATTTGCCCCGACTTCATTCCGTTCTCTGCAAGCCTAGTGTCTTAGGTGAGACGCCCCGGGTGCACGTACAGTACCCTCTCCATTTTCCAGATAGGTACCGGAGCAGTAGGCACGCTCACTCGACTAACGGTTGCCGACTCTAAGTCGAATAACGGCGTCTCTCCAGTTTCCTAATTCCTACGCGGCCTATCTCTCTAGATGTCTTTCTCATTCTCTACTAGGTCTCCGGGCTAGTGTCGTAGATGCCTGATAGCGTGACCTGCTACAATGTCAGGGCATAGCTACCGACTTAAAGGGCAACTCACGTGCCCCGCGCGTCTCCTCGTTTCAGGTCCTCAACTAGACCGCTACTAAGACGATGGAACGAACGACCCGGCCATATGCTACCGGGGCAGATGAACGAGTTCATCGCTGCAGCGAATCACCCGACGAGGTCCATACCCGAGGTCCATGCCAGTGGTACGCCTTCTGAGACGCCTGTGCGGAGAGCTTGACTCGGACGCCCGTCCCCGAAAAACCCTATCTCTCGAGTCGGTAGACAAGGTAAGTAGATGAAACCATTAGGCTACCGCAGCTCTCCCAATAATTCTAACATTACTTATTAATGATTGAAGTTAATAAATACAGTGAGAAAACTGCTGCCACGCCATCGTACCGCTCAATGATTCCAGGTTGTTTACAGGTTTTATAAATAAAATAATTATTAGGACAAAATGTTTTAATGACAAACTGAATGGCGGAAAAGAATTTAAGCGCGCTGGGTCGACGAACGCACAATGAATTGGGTCAAGATTATTTAAAGACGGAAAGACGCTCTGTTTTATATTAGCATTTTACATTATTCTATATTTTTTACAAATTTAGATGTGCACTCATACACAATTGTGTATACAACCCATATACTTCTAGAGAGGTTTTTCGTATATAACAAGCTGTGCTATCATTTTATTGCAAGGTCGAATTAATTAGAACATTATTGCACCCTACTCTTAGGCGCCGCGCAAACGTGTGTCATGTTGGATACAAGCAACCGGCAACTAGAAGCGAATATTCTATTTTCCTACAATTGATACGAAATCGACACAGTTGCCAGTTGCGGTAGTCGGACACTGTCGCCAGTTGCCGCAACAGCAATTTATATGAAAAAAGAATATTCACTTCTAGTTGCCGGTTGCTAGTTCGCGCTTCGCCTAAAAGTAAGGTTACCATTATCAACAAATTATGTACCTATACTCCGTCCAACTATTATATTTAACTTTTGAGAGCTCGAATTCTAATCAATTAGTGATGTCCTAATGCGTTTCCGATTCGATTTTTTATGACAATCGATTTTATTTACGAATAAGTTTTAATCGTTAATGTGAGCGGGTTTGAAAAAGAAGATATTATCTGATTGGGATCGTGATATTGAGTTTGATAATTTGTGTACTCAAGAATTAATAATTAATGTTAACCGAGGATTTAAGTGATTATTCCCGTTCATATAAAGAAGAATCCGACGATCCATTGTAATAAACAATAAGAATTTATATATTATAACAAAATTTATTTCATTTCATTATAATTTATTAGACAGGTACCAAAATTTATCAACTTGAATAATCTTCCTTACATAATCTGTTGGCTCGATAAAAATCGGAGTTACAGAGCATGTCGCTTCGCTAAAATTTAAAAATAAAAGAGTCCAGGAAGTATAGCATTTTTTTGTCTATGGTTGTACGTCAATAATTACGGAACTTCAGAGGCATGCATATGTCAAAAGTTAAATAAATGGTTGGACGGAGTACAGCAGTGAAGTTTCTTTATTATTATTGCACTCTAGAATAGGTTTTTATTATTCGTAATCATCATTTTACACTACAGTCCGACTACAAACTACAACGCTATAACTTGACCTTTTCAAGGCGAGAGTGAATAGGCAATATTAAGGTGTGTATGCTACGGTCGTCGACCTCATCGTCAGTTTCCATCAGGTGAGATGACGATCAAATGCGCACTTATTTAAAAAAAATAACTTCCGTAGCCGGGTCTGTGTATCGCGGTCGCACTCATCTGCGGACCGCGACTTGAATGATGTCGTCGTCTACCAATCTCGCTGCAGTAATTTCTACGTTCTACTACTATTGAATGTTCTACTGTTAAATAACGTTAATTAAAATAAAATCTAAAACGCTCTGTCTTCGTATGTAAGTAATTACAATTCGCAATACATTAGTAACGCAGATTCCCCTGATAAGAATGAGTAAGAAACTCCAGGGGTTGCCCTTTTGCTCGTTGTAAATAGATATCTATTCAAGTTCATCATTTACATTAATTAAGTAAAAATATCCGTGTAGTAACAATATAATTTTTATATGGTAGAATTATAGATAAGAGACTACAAATAATATATAGAACTTATTACATACGTAAGATTATAAACCTGACATCCAATTATAATTGTACACAACATTCATATTAAGTCCGTGCGATAAGAAAAACAAAATTAAAAAAATTAATTGAATGTTTTGCTTAAATTTAAGTTGCGCTTTTATAAAAGGTATACTATACAAAAATGTCATGGTAGTAACATCGACTATGTGTAAAATGGTCCTTTTTTAAAGTTGTTTGTAATTGTGGCACTTCACATGGCTATTTTTTGTATTTGCATATTTGATATATTTAGCAAATAATCACGACGTGTAGATAGCGTGTGTGACGAAGTATTTGCCTTCTTTTCCTATTCGAAAAATACAGCAAACACCAAACCGCGTTTCCGTGCGCTGGTCGGTTTCTCGACGCACATCAAGGACTCAAATAGGCAAATACACAAGTAGTAAAATTGAACAACTGACACAACCCTAAACAGTAGGTTCAACTAGACGAGAATTAAGGATAGATTTAGCAATTTAAGGTAGTCCCTACACTAATCAATACGGAATCGCATTGAGCCGGTTAGAAAACAGAATGCAATATATGAAAGTATCACTCGTTCGATATTTATGGCCTACTAAAGAATGACCATAAGTGTACCGCACGAGTAAACGCCGCAATGTATTACGAATCATACACTTGTTTACATATTTGTTTTCTAGATATTCATTCAAAATGAAAATAATTGATTTTAAAATAAATTATACATATTCTGATTACAAAATTCCTTAACTGTGGAAGGAAACGTCCCCGTTTATTCATTTATTCATAGCTGTGGTGTTATTGAAGTTTCTAATAGCACAATTAGGCATTTTTCGCGTTTTCGACTAATGTTCAACTACGATCTTTAATTTTCATGAATATTTAGATTCAGATTTCAAATTTGTTTATCTAGTTATATCTTTTTATTTTTCGACACTTGTCAAATACCCTATTGTTTGTTGTTACAATAATATTGAACCGAATTGAAGTGGGGTCGTCGCCTCGAGAGGCAGACAGGAAGTGGCAATTCTGTAGTGAACAGCTTTACTGTGCTAATATGGGAAAAGTAATTTCAGACCTAGTAACTAGTAATTTAAGTCTTAAACTAGCAAAACATATTGTAGTAGGATACACACTATTACTTCTATCACCAACTGGTGCAAGGAGACTATGTTCGTGAAGTACCTCTTTGAAAAAATAAAAATCATTTTTAACATTCGCTTTGCATTATGCTCTAACATTTCAGAGCGGGAATAATCGCGATTAAGCAATATAATAAATATTTTAACCAAGTCAAGGAATTACATACCTCTGCCTTTTCCAATACGGTACCCCTCCTTGGAGACCGCAACTGACCCCATGACTACGAGATCCAGGGACACCGAGTCTTCAATGCCTGGAAGGAGTAAACAATTGAACATGGCAAATTATACACCGCAATACTGGGATATAGCGAAAAAATCACGACTTCCTTGTTAACACTTTTTTGATTGCACTTTCAATACCGTATAAAACAAGCCGTAGTAGTAGTGCCCATTCGATGGATGATTACTTCTCAATCGAAAAGTTGACTCGAATCCCCGTGTCGGCAGGTACAGTCATATCATATACATGAGATACCTGTGACCCCGTCACATGCCCAAACCGACCTTTGGTTCTGAGACGTATTGAACAAACAAAAAATTAAAGCAATTTCAACTTTGTATAAGCAATACAGTGGAGTGTTGCTTGACGATGATCAATTTATTTTTAAAACCAGTACTAAATTTCGTCATTTAACATGCAAGTAAATTGGTCGGGCGGCTCGTTGTATCGACTGCCAGTTATAATACCCGTGGTTCGATTCCACGAGCTCTATTTTGTTACATTTTAACAGCATTGTTTCACTTTTTGATGTTAACGTTGACAAAGCACAATATTTGCTCACTAAAAATTGCTTAAGGTGGGTGGGTAGATATTATTAATAAGGCGTAGGGTGGGTATGGATAGATTAACAAATCATGAAATCACTGCAGTTTGCATACCATCGATCGTGTCTTCTGAATACGCGTTGTTCCACGTTTCGTTCCCATTTATCCATTCAGTTTTAATTACTTTCAAGATTTTAGTAACTTTCAAAGTTTTCTTTCTTGTTTTAATAAGTCGCACTTAACGGAATTATTAAAATTAGAAATATTGTTCTATATGAACAAGACTTAGACATTCATTACACCTATCCAGAGGTTAAAAACAAAATAAAATACAATATTATATAGTCATAGCTAAATAATATTTTATTCTTATGTGACTCGAACCATGCTTGCCTCAACTTGCAAAGCAATCCTTATATCGCTAGACCGGCCACGATCGCTGGTTGAAATTCGTATTCTATATTTAAGAAAGAATCATACGTTAAGGATCAAATTGGCTTAAAAACTTTCTTACAGTGTCATTCGCTAATGAGACGACCAGCTCACAGCTCACAGATTAAAGATTAAGTTTGTTTAACAATTTTCTCCACATATCGAGTTCTTAGGTTTTCGCGATTGTTACACATAGGAAATGAAACTATTTTGAACCCGGGACCTCTGTGTGGCAGGCCAGCTGGTAACCGTGCGGCCACGGAGGCGTTTATTACTGTATAAAACGATTTGTCCAATTCGTCCAAGATGTTGAGTCAATTCACTGGCAACAAACAGAAAACCAGTTCTGCGTACTGGACGCTCATCTGGGTTGAAACATGAACTGTGTTCAAAATTATTCTATTACCAATCATTCAAACGTATGTGTAGCCATTGTAGACCGTATTATTTACGGAAACCGACATTTTAAAACGGTGCTAAGTTGGTATTGTCGTAGCGTTACATCTGATTGGAAACTTCCGATACCTACTTTACCATCTGCGATGTGCCTCTCCAGCGTGAGGTGTGCTATACACACATATTCAAGCGGGATCACTTGACTGGTCGAACAACAAAACCGTCGCGTTAAGTCTACATAATATATTATGACTTCAGTTGTAATACGTATTGTCTGACGCAACGATAAACAGCGGTAAACACCACCCAAAACTGGTAAATTCACGTACAGACGTTAAAGAACCCTGGGCCAGATTAAGGGTCAATTTATATTGCCGCGGAACCGAATTGCGAGGGAATTTGTTTAGCAGTAGAGCTCCTTGCGAAAGAGTTCGTCCAGGGAAATACTGCCACCTTACCTATTTCGTACTGTGAGCATGCTGATCAAATTACAGGCACATGGGACTTGTAAATTTATGTCTCAGGGTGACAGGCGCAGCGGCAGTGCCCCTCAGATCTCTTAAAGCTCTGAGTGACACGGCAACTGTAATGGACAGGCGTGTAAATTACCACTAGACACACGACTTGTTAGTCCCGTCACTTGATATTATATTATAAAAAAAAGCTGAAAACGCCGAGATTACGCGAGAATTCTTTGGAAAACACGCGACCTGTTTTTTCAGTTTGTTCGTTACACAATTGATATAAAGTTCGTTATGCAACGGTTGGAAATGGAAACGAATTTTCTTTTCGTTTCCATTCCGTGGCAATGTAACTTAATCCCCAGGCATGCCGTAAATCATAGTCGAAGAACATCATGGTTCGACATCAGCACCAGAGTAGGTACATACATAGTCATCACTTATTTTTATTATTTTTGTATTATTTCTTTTATTATTATTATTATTTTATTGTTTCTAGTAGCCTAATACTGGTCTAAATGATTGGTAGAAGACCGCACTTCCAAGAAGAAGTCGTTCGCTAATGGCAGCTCTTATCACGTCATCTCAGGGTGCCCCACTGGTGGAGCATTTACAACTCGCTCATCAAGCGGAATGTACCACCGGTGGTCACGCAAGGAAGCCGCAGTGTGAAAATGCTTAAAGATATGAAGATTTTTCCTGTAGTTTTTGAGTGCAATTTACTAATTTTGTTCAATAGTCCCTTAATTTTTAAGTATATTTATTTACTTCGCAAATGGCATGCGTGGCTGTCGCTGCATTTGGAACATGTTATTGCATTTCCTGCATAAGAAAACTTATTTCATAATACATTCATTAATAATTTTAGAACTTGTCAGTAACATAATCTTAGTAAAGAGTACCAAAAACAATCGACCTTAAAATATCGTGGAATTACATCTATTCGCAAAGTTTTATTGAAATCGGTTACCGGAAAGTGCGCGGAACCGGATTCATCCCCTAGAGGTGAAATGTTTTCCTCAAATTTAAGTGGGACCAATACTGATACCTTTCCGACAAGAACGAATCATCAAATTCACTAGACAAAATGTGCCGAGTGAGTGAGTTATCGCATAACATACATACAAAAAACAATCCGTCGAATTGAGAACCTCCTTTTTGATGCCGGTTAAAAATAAGTATAACTAGGTCAAACAATGCGCATCAAAAATATTGCTATTTATGCTTACCAATCGGCTTGCCATAAGTTTCCATGCCATTACGGGATACCGCCTTTCTGATGGCAGCAGGGCCTGTTTCGCCTTCGGGCAGCTCCAGGCGGTTCAGGAACCCGTTCTGCAGACGCGGCACCGGCACGTACAGGGTCTTCTTTTGTTCAAGGCAGATTACCCTGGTATGGTAAAATTACGGTGAAATCGTTTTCACACATTATTGTCAACATTATACATCGCTTCATCGTTCATCTCTCTAGGCATATATTGCTTCAAAGTAAAGGTAAGTAGTGCTGGCAGCTATCTCGCCCAATTTATTAGCACAGCCACGCAGAGGGATGGCTGAAGGCATTTTGATTTAATATAGCCTTAGTTTTTCAATTGCTAAGGTATATTATTCTTAAGGTTAAGGTTTATATTGTCTCAATTCTTTGATATAAATATAGTAGAATCTTGCAACAGAACACCTAATATGACTGTCAGAAATCAACCTTTTACTGTTACTTTACTGTTGCGAATGGTAATCGAGAAAAATGATTGGCTAATTTAAATTTCGAATTGCTTATCGCGTGATCTTAGAGCCTATACACACGGCCTATACGGCGTATTTTATAAGTGTCGACGACGTTTACGGCGCTGTAGATGCTCAAAGGCAGATTGTTGCGTTTGATTCAAACGTGCGCAAACATCGCGTTCCACGCAAGAAGCTTATATTATACTCCAATGGAGTTTACACTTAGCATTTTATGTTGAAGACAACTTTTGCTGTGATTTTTATTTTTTTCACTCTTCGTGTCTAGTGCTACGCTTGCAAAATAAACACATAAAAACGGATAGTAATAATTTAGTATAGTGATTTCTCTTAAATCAATTTCAGGATACGTTTGAAAAGACGCAGCGTGCATGCTTTTATATTTTTTTAAGTTGCTTTATTTCAAAAACTAACTGAAATTAACAAACAAAACTAAAATTAAAACTATCTCTTATCACAATGTGGTACATACGCGTGACTACAGAGCGTCTGCAGCGCGTATACGCACAGATACGCGTTTATGGCGCCATTGAATTTGTGAACGTGTGCAAAGGTTTAGTCGCAACTGCATCGCGGTTGAATCGCGTTAACGCGCGTCATCTGCACGTATAAAATATGCCGTGTGCATAGGCTCTTAACATCAAATATAGTCATTGGTCAAATTCAATTGCCAACTTGGATTATTAATGCGAATGATTTGTAGTGTCCAACATATTGTAAGGAAAGGTCGCGCGTGCAACGGAGTTTTAATTATATTCACCTGGTTTAAAATTTAAACAAACTGCACTAATCACTAACTGTATTATAAAGTATCAATGTTGTTTGTCATAATTAAAGTCGGCTGGGTTATCGTAAAACGATAATTAAGTAACGAGCTCAAATAACGGTAACAGTAAATTTGATAATAAGTCTTAGCAATAATGGAATACGTAAATAATGCGAGATTTGTATGGAATCTTTCATTGCCATTGTTTGGAACCTCTGTCTATCTATGTCAAATAACGATTAGGGCCAGCGCAAACGGTTTCATGCCCGACAGCGCACACTGATGAGGCATATCAATTATGAGTCCGCCAGCGTATCACAGAGTCCGCCGACATGCCTCTGGCCACTAACCGCTCCGGCGGCGCATACCGGTGGATTTCGGGCGCATGCTGGTGGACTCCCGTCGCAGTATTCTCTATAGCGTATTCTTCAATAGCGTAGAGAGAAAGCGGTGCGATACTAAAGGTCGGTCTCAGAGCATTGAAATTTATACTTTATTTCAATTGATAAATTTTATGTCCTCTGCCTTCCTGCCCGCCGGCTTAGGGCGCGTTCCCACTATGTCGTCACGTTTTATTATCGTTAGACGACTGTCGTGTCTAGCTGTTCCCACTAGATCGTGACGACAATTTATCGTTTCACGACAGCCGCCTTGCCCATCTCTGGTTACGACCCAACGCTACTGCAAAGCGAGCAGAGGGCGCGGGGTACGAGAAGGGAGGGCAGGGAGCAGAATACGTGCGGACAGCGATAAATAAAACGTGACGACAATAGGAGCTGCGACAATCTGTCGTCACGTTTTATCGTGACTTTTTTTATCGTCTGACAACTGTCGTTCTAGCTGTTCCCACTGTGACGACGGTTTGTCGTTGTAACGATAAAAAATCGTGAACGACAGTTAATCGTGTCGTGCTATATGTGAACAACTTCATTTAAACATACAACGCACGACACTGTAAACTGCACGACAATCTGTCGTCGCGACATAGTGGGAACGCGCCCTTACGCTGGCCTTTACAGTAACAACCCAGTGTTTGGTGATGAAATGACTCACTATATGCAAGCTACAATACTTCCATAGCAAATTTCATCTGATTTAGCGGAGTCGTTTTCGAAATTAAAAACGGTTTACGTAACAAAGTATACATTTCTAATGAAAATACAAAAAAAAATCATAACTTCTAAGTTGCTGATTTTCGCGAAATTAATGGTTATTTTAAACCGGTAGTTGCTACGGGCCACCCTGTAATATTGTCGCCTTACTTTCTCGTACCCTAAAGCACCAAGTTACTGAAATGCAAAAAATGTATTTGCAAATTTTGCAGGCTGATATCACATTTCCTACCTTTTTACAAACTGGCTTTTACCAATTCTTAGTAATTCAATCCAAATTAAAATTTGATAAGAAATTTAAAATAAATAGAAAATTTTGCCATCTCCTGAAGAATCACTCTTTATAAGGCGTCAATATGTATATCATAAAGACCAAATACAAATTAATTAGAAAGACACAAAAGGTTAAAAAACAAGACTACAAACAACAAGCCATTAAAAGTTAGTATTAACTGGGAACAAAATATGAAAATCTCGTTATTCCACAGCGTGGTCATGAATTGTATAACATTCATAAATGACGGATACATTGCGGAACTTCGGTAAAACAGTTATTTAACTTACATTTAACAAAAATGTACACAAAACGAGTTAAGTTTTATTATTTTGTTTTTAGGTTTACTGAGAACGTTTGAAGAGCTCTCAAATGTTATACGTACTAATGTTGTAAACTTTAATAATATTCAAAATTCTCTAAGTCCACTACTAATTTTGTTTTGACCTGTTTGTTTAAAAGGCTTCAATAAATTATGTCTCTGTGGATAACTATTTTGACCTAAGTTATTCAAGACAAGTAATGTTCTTTGTAATAAAAAAAAATATAAACAAGCATGGCGCCCTTTATACATAAATGAGGGAATGCGTGATGTATTATTATGTCCCCTCGTTTTTGTGTACACATTGTTGTCATTTTCAAATTTTTTAGCAGTAAATTCTGTGTTTCACCGTAGGTTTGTGAAAATGTTTAGTTGCAAATTGTAACTAATGCCATTTACTTAGGACTCAAATTTGCAGTTTGAAAAGTTTGCATAGTTTAACTTCTGGCTGAGAGTAATTAATTCCGAAATAACGTTCCAGTCCTAAAATTAGGAAAACCCATTTTACTAGCGACGGAGAACCAATTTGAATTATTCTGTAAGGCGTGTTACAATCGACGCTTCACGCTTGCTTGCAATGACGTTTGATAAAAAATTTTAATTTTTTTTTTTTTCATAAGAAATACTTAAAAAATCATTAACGAAAAGAATGATGTTGTAAATAAATATCTTTTTTTATGGTACCAAGTGACGAGACGACGAAGTCGTACGCCTGATGGTAAGTGACACGCCTCTCCAAAACCGTTGCAGTGCCATTCAGAGCTTTAAATCACAAATATCAGGCACTGCCACTGCGCCCGTCACTCCTTTTACCTCCATTCAGATCAAAGCAGCTACAAGCAACTTGACACGAAATTTCTTTCAATACCTTTTGCTTGGAAAAAAACTTAGAAAAAACATCACCTATATTACACAGACGCAATCGTGCGCGCAAAACTCGTGAAATAGGAGTTTTATAGTATATGTAGATCGCAAAGTGTGTAGTTAGCAATAGGTAACAATTCAACAAGTTTTAATAGACACCCCTCTCATTCCAAAATCAATTAATGACTTTTTTTTATAATAATATGACGGGACGAACAAGTCATGTTCATGATTGTAAGCTACATGCTTGTCCATAACAGTTGCAATGCCACTCAGAGCTTTAAATCGCATTCTGAGGGCACTGCGCCTCTTAACCTGAGACAAATTGACAATTCTCATGTACAGTAATTTCACCATTATTATATACAAAGATCGAACACAAAGAAAAATCCCATCCATCTGACAGGACTCGATCATGCATCTGTGTCAAACCAAGGTAACAATGGAGTAATTTCACAAAAAATTAATTAATTAACATCATGGTAGTAAAAACATAATAATATTAAAATCAATATATAATGAATTTCTCAAATCGGAACACTGAATGAATTTCGTAATATACAGGATTTTACATTACGTTCGACTGTTGGTTCCTAAAAAGTGTGGTGATCATTAACTATAATCCCAGAGGATCTTTACGCACCTTTACAAAAAACGCATCTAACTCATGTCACATCCATCCGATGCCATACGGAAAGGCATGAAACGCGTGTCACGCACTGCTGGCACCGCCTAAGCATATCCTGTAGGTTGTAATGTAGCGTGGATAGTCCTGTTGATGTCTTTGTGGAGGTTTGTCATTTATAGACGTACCAAAACTTCGACATTTTTTTAACTTTTCCACAAAATGTGTGCGATGTATTTGTACATCGTTAAACGTTAAGAACTATTGTATTTGTAATTTAGTATGATGAGAGAAAGAGAGAGCACGTCTGCTCGCTTCGGGAGTTTGATAGAGAGTGACGACAAAACAAAGTGAAAATGACGAGGCAAATGAATTAAAGAACGATTCAAAATTCGTAAATAAGTGGCCAAGAAACAAAGCAAAGGTGATAAAACGGCGGGATGGCGATGGAGGAGGTCGCATCGTGTTGTACTATAAATATTTTGGAATTATAATTTGTATTAGGGGTTAAAGTATGAAATTGCCGTTTTATTGCAATAGGTTCTTTGAATTTTCATAGAATCTTCATGGTTTGAGGTTTTCGAATGAAACTTTTTTCAAATGGTTTCTGTGGTTTTTTTTTTTTTAATTTGAAACATTTGAATATCGACTTTCAATTGTTTTTGTTATTCAATTTAGACAAGAAAGATGGATACTGCGAAAATTCGAGTGATTTTTGAATACCAGTTCCGACGCGGAACTAACGCGGTAGAAACAG